GGTGAATACGTACCTGCCGCCAGCTCGGCTCTGTCCTCATCAGGTCGCTGCTGCTCGTCTGAATCACCCAAGGCAACAATGGCAAGGCCTTTATCCTTACCCTCTCAGACATCAACGCACTCTTACCGTCGCCGTGGTAACCCAGGAACCATTCCGGGTGGCTGTGCACGGGGTGGGCGTGTTGCGGGAGCTCCGCAATCCAGAAGTCTGCATCGATACGCACAGCCCAACACACAAGGGTGTGTGTGTGCATAGTGATGTGTCGCCCCCACACATACCCTCGTGGTCATCCGAGGCCTCCTCGTCGATGCCCTCCCGCTCGGTCCGCTCCACGGCTGCAGCGGCACAGACACAGTGAGCACGTCCATCTCTGCCGTGCGACGATCACTGATTGATTCCTCCTACCCGCCCTCTGCGCGGCCGTCGCGTCGTCTTGCCCTCCTGCTGCACACAAAGGGCATAACAGACACATACGACAGATGTACGCGTATCTCTATAGATATCAACGTAGTACCTTCTGGCTGGCTGTGGTCGTCCTCTTGGTCGTCCTCCTGCTGCTCGGCTGGCTGGGCGTGGAAGGCAGGCTGCTGCACCCAACCAACCGCACACACACAGGCCACAAAAGGGCAATGTGTGTGTGTGTGGTTGTGTGCGTCACGACACTGCTGATTCTCTCGAGTGTGGATACCTTGGGCTTGGCCTTGGCCGTTGGTGACGCGGGGAGGGACTCCTGCACACATGGGAGACAACGGCACGATGGTCGGCGTGTTTGGCTGCCTTCTTGGCATTCTGACTCACGTACCCTGGTGGACATTGTCCCCATCGCCCCCTGCACACACAGACGACAACACACGCAGACAGCAGCAATGGGTACCTGACTTGTGTCAGACTTCTTTTGTTCCCGAACCAGCGCTGGCTTGTTGGTGTCTTTGTTGGTGTCGTGGTTGGTGTTGGCGGGTGTGGCGGTGCTGCTGCCCCGGCCTGCACACAACAGAGCAGGGACAGCAACCGTGGCACATTAACTCGTATAGCCGTGTGCTGCTCATACCCCGGAGATGCTCCTCGCGGACTGCAACCAACAGACAATCCCACAGGACATTCATGCTTGCTATGTGCGCGGATGCCATTCATTAATGGCTGCTGACCATTCACGTCGTAGAACGCCGGCCCCCCCTCCTTGGCCCGGGCCGTGGGGCAGCACAGGTTGGCGAAGTGGTCGAACATGGATCGGGCGATGGAGGGGCCTGACGGACAAGAGGGGGATACAGTGAAGGAATGGGAGTGGGGCTGTGCGTGTGCGTGTCCGACGCTCACGAGTGCTCCCTCCCTGGTCATGGTGGTGAGCCCCCTGCTGCTGCTGTTGCTGTTGGTGCTGCTGCTGCTCCTGCTCCTGTGGCTCCATGTCGCTGAACGAACACACACATTCCATCGGCTGAGGGGATGAACTGCGGCCCGAGTTCTGTTGTGCGTGGGTATGTCAGACAAAGAGACTCACACTGGTGGTGAAATTTGCAGCTGTGTGATGGCCTCCGCCAGCCGCTTGACGCCCACCTCGATGTCCTCGGCGCTGTAGTAGGAGAAACTCAACCGCAGATACGAACCGAAGCCCTGCACCCACACATGACACGCCACACACAAATGACACACACAAATACAAAGTGGCAGGGTGTGTGTGTGTGTGCATACCTGTCCGAACGAGGTGCCCGGGAGGAATCGCGCCTTGTTCTTGACGGCAACATCCAGCAGGTCCGTCGACAGCATACCATACCCTGCACACAGGCAGCACCACAGCAGGGCAAGACATGCACGCACCCATGCGATGGTGAGTTCGCCCTCTTCTCAGCGTGTGTGCGAATCCAATACAAGAAATACCTCAGGCAGTTTGACAAGGACGAAGTATCCGCCCTTGGGCACCTCGTGCGTCACGCCAGCTGGCATGTACTTGTCCAATGCAGACTACACACACAACACAACACAACACAACACAGTCAATGCGGCGGTGGTCATGTCAGCCGTCGGTGTGTGCGTCCTTACACACCATGAGTGTGTTACACCTCCTGTGCAGCTCTTCCTGCACATAGGCCAGGTGCTTCTTCTGCAGACCCAGGTCGATCGCCTGGTGCACGATGCCGCTGATCACCGGATTGATGCCCTGACGCACACACGGCACACACAGATGGTGGATGGGCAGTCAAGACACACACATGTGTTTGTGTTTGTCGGCCACTCACTGACCCCGCTGGAGTCAAGCTGTCCGCAGTCGATGATGGGTTTGAGTATCTTCATGGGCCCCTGCATCCACCCCAGCCGCAGGGCGGGCGCCAGGATCTTCGAAAACGACCTCAATGACACCACACGCTCCTTCTTCTGGTCGTAGTACGGCATCGGCAACGGAATCGGCACACCTGCGCTCACCAAGTGAACGGAGGAATCCATGTTTCCGTAGTCATTGATTGGCTATGTGTGTGTACCTGAGAATCCGAGCAGGTGGTAGACCTCGTCTGCGCACATGACGAAGCTGTATTTGTAGGCGAGCTCGACGATTTTCTTGCGTCGGTCTTCGGCGAGTGTCCTGCCGGTAGGGTTGTGGCCGATGGGGATGGTGTATAGGAACTTGGGCACCTGCTTCTGCAGCTGCTTCTCCAACTCCTCGGGAATGATGCCGTCCTGACACACACACGCACACACAGATATCTGAGTGGGCCGGCCATTCACATACCTCTCTCCCCCTGTGTGTGTGTCTGTGGCACCCACTAGTTAGTTACCTCGTCCATGGGAATCTGCACGACGTTAAGTTTGAAGTCCTCAAAGATGCGGAGCGCCAGGAAGTAGGACGGCTCCTCGGCAAACACCAAATCGCCAGACCGACAGAAGATGCTGAATGCAATCGAAAGCAGACAGACAACACACGATGCGGCTGAGTGCAGTGCCCGTAGCCCTGCCTGTCTTCATCTTACGTGATAAAGAGCGCCAGCCCTCCGGTTATGCCATTAGTGACCATCAACTCATCCGGGCTCACTGGCGCACCGTATTGCTGAACACACGAAACACACACACAAGCAAACCACACGACACGACACACAGTGCCCTCCATATAATATATCAGCCCCTCAGACACACAAAGCAAAGACGCACCTCGGTAAGGAATCCCGCGAGTGACTTCCTGAACTCCAGGTAGCCTTGGATGTCGCCGTACTGAAGAAATTTGTGGTCGGTTTCTGCGAACTTGGCGTTGGCGGCCTGCCGCACGAGGTCGAGCGGCAGCAGAGTGTCGGGTGACGGCTGGCCGACCTTGAAGTTCACCTCCTGATCCACCGGAGGCATGTCATACTGACCGTAGCGAACCATTGTCGACGGTGGGATAGATGAACTACAGCAATTGCACTGGGTGGTGCTGCTGAGAGAAGGGGGGGCGGGGGGAGGGGGGGTGCAGGTGCTCGGCTGATGAAGTGGGGCTGGGTGGGGGAGGGAAGGGATGCTGGAATGCTGACTGATGAGGGAACGAATCAAAAAGGGGAAATGAAGGGGAAAGATGCCACGAGACTTGGAAGAGGTCGGGAACGTGAACCTTGACGATAACCGCTGGTAAGCGGTCGATGGCCCCGTGCGAGCTGAGAATGAGCTGCAAGCTTAGCTCGCACGAGGAGGGAACGGAAACGCGAATTCTGGACGAAACCGAAGGCTGTCCATGAGTAGGAGAGTTTGACTGCTTAGAGCACACGCGAGAATGGTGGGTGTAAGCAGCAGACACCGGGGACCCAAGCATTCCCAGACATCCATGTCAGTAGGTCACCCCCTCCTCCTATGTATGGTTGCTTGCTTCAGAAGCTTCGAGCCAGTGCGGGCAGTCTGGCCGCCCGCAAGATCCTGTCAGCGGCGCGTTATGTCGGTCTCGCAGTGGAGGTGGAGCCACCGGCGGGGCCGGCCGCCTCGTCACTGACTCAGTCCACCGGCGGCTTCGAGGTACGGTCATGTGTGTTGTTGTGACACGACCAGTGTAGCTGAGGAGGGTTGCTTCGTCTATCGTGACACAGATCCCGAAGCTGAAGCTGCCTGATGGTTACGAGCTGTCGTACGTCAACAGCATCCTCAGATACGGTGAGTGGGTGGGCGGTGGGATGACGACATCGCTGTTGTCTGCATTCGGGATTGCCATGAGCTGCTTGCTGTCAGTTGCTAGTGTGATGCCCAGCAAGCTGCTCTATGGCGAGACCTTCGCTAACACGGTAACCACACACACACACACACGAGAAGCTGTCCATGGTGGTGGGTGTTGCAGGCTGAGGTGGACCAGTGGCTGGACTGGACCGACAAGCACGTCGACTACCTCCTCCGCACCTACTACGTCGAGCAGGCCAAGAAGCAGCCGTCACAGAGCGAGAGTGCGCGAGGGCAGGCCGTCCTGAGGCGCCTGGCGGCCTCAGACGAGGTCAAGAAACTGCTGGGTGAGCGGCCGACCACCCATGGGTGAGAGCATTTGGTTTGTGCAATGGGGTGTGCTGCTGTGACTCATTTAGAGAATTTGAACGAGCACATGCGCCCGCGGACGTTTCTTGTGGGCTACACCCTCACCATAGCGGACATCTCGCTGTCCTTCTCCGCATACGAGCTCTTCAAGGTAGGTACCTGACTCGACTGACGCAAAGACTGGACCACCATTGGATGGATGGATGAATGGATGGATGAATGGCTTCTCACCTCTCTCTCTCTTTCTTTCTCTTGTTTGTTGTCAGTACCTTGAGGCCGAGCGGCGGAAGGACTACCCCTGTGTGTTCCGCTGGTTCAACACCATATTGCACTGGGCACCACAGGTAGGGAATCGAATCAACGCCACACTCTGCCCCTCTCACCAGCAGATTGTCTTACCATGTGTCAGTTCGATGACGAGCCAGCACCTGCCGCACCTGCCGCCGCTGTTGCAGCGACCCCTGCGCAAACAAGCCAGCCGTCGGCCAAGCCATCGGCAGCAGCAGCAGCGGCTTCCGTCACTGGTGCTCCTGCTGCTGCCGCTGCTGCTGCCGCTGCTGCTGCTAGTGGCGGAGGCGGGATCGGGATGGCCAACGGCACCCTCCTGACCAACGGCACTGGATCGACCATACAGGACACGAACAACAAGGTTCCACAAGCCACGTTCAGGTGAATACAGACAGACGCAAGGGCAAGGCGACGGGGTGCAGTGAGTCGATTGCGTCGGGTGCTGTGCTGTGTGAATGCATCGGATGCATCTATGGCGGCTGCAGCTTCGGTGGCCGAGTGCGCGTGAGTGTGCTGGTTGCGTCTGAGGACATGGGTGCGTCCTGGGTTGGGAAGCTCATCACGGTGTGTGGGTGGAGCCGCACCATCCGCAAGCAGGGCGGCGGCGCCTTCTGCCTCGTCGAACTCAACGACGGCTCGTGCCTCAAGAGCCTGCAGGTCATCGTCGACAAGGCCGTCGAGGGATACGACAAGCTACTCAAATGCGGCGCTGGGTGCAGCTTCAGGTACCCACACGGAGAGAGGGGGGAATGTGTCAGTGGTCGACGTTGGTGACGTGATGTGATGTGGTGTGGTGTAATGCGCAGGTTTGTGGGTACGGTTGTTGAGTCTGCTGCCAAGGATCATGCTGTGGAGCTGGCCGTCAAGACCCCAACGCACACGCAATGACCATCCTCCGAGGTGAGGAATACACACACAGAGAGAGAAATGAGGTGGCTCCACGGGATGGCATGTGTTGCGTGCCGTTTCGTCAAAGAGGCCGAGCAACGCGCTGGTAGGAGGAATCGATCAGTGTGGCCTAAACCCTGAGAGATGGACGTGCTCACTGTGTATGTGGTGCTGCAGCCGTGGAGCGGACCGAGCGGGAGGGCATCGATGAGGAGGCCTCGGATGACCACGAGGGTATGTGTGTGAGGGCGACGCATCACTGTGCACACACACACCCTTGTGTGTTGGGCTGTGTGTACCGATTGATGCAGACTTCTGGATTGCAGAGCTCCCGCAACACGCCCACCCCGTGCACAGTCACCCGGAATGGTTCCTGGGTTACCACGGCGACGGTAAGAGTGCGTTGATGTCTGAGAGGGTAACGATAAAGGCCTTGCCATTGTTGCCTTGGGTGATTCAGACGAGCAGCAGCGACCTGATGAGGACAGAGCCGAGCTGGAGGCAGGTACGTATTCACCGCATGGGCATGAAGACACACACATGTCAAGTCAACGGATGTCTGTTCTGTGTGTACGCCCACTGATGGATTGCAGAGGACGACGAGCGGCCTGAGGTCGACAATGAGGCGCCGGAGATCGCTGAGGTGGTGGTCCAGCAGCAGGCCCAGCAGCAGCAGGGCGAGCAGCAGCAGG